ACGCAACTGGTCTAAAGTAAATAATGTTCTTGCGTTAACCACGCGCCCTACGTGATAATTCATTGCACCCACAAAATGAACCATTGTGCCAACTGTGATTCGGCCTTTGTGGGTCGTAAAAGAACGCTCAGAGATTCACTTTGTAGTCTCCCTCTTGTGCGTTGCCTGGGACTCGCGTGGTCATGTGTTTATGCGCGTCGTTTCAGCCGTGTGCTGCGTGTGCGTCTAGTCCCCCAGTCGTGTGCGCATCGTCGTCTGTTTTCGAGGGCTCAGCGCGTAACCCGAATACGTACGTGAATAGGGCTGTGCACAGGTCACGCGTAACTTTCGGATAAGCTAACGCGACCAGGTCTGCGCACATCCATCACAGAACTTTGTCACCAAGTGTGCCGATTCGCCTCAGTCCACTAGGACAACTCCTGCTTCTATACCTAATCGAACAATGGAGTCAGTTCTTTGGAGACAGCGAAGACCCAGAAGCGTCTGGACCGGCAGCGCAAAAACATGTGGGGTCTGTGACCCTGTTTGTAAACTGACAGGCCAGGGTTCAACCTGTAGGAGGCCAGAAGAACCGTCGTTAAAAATGCGAAGCCTAACGGAGCACCCGTTGTGTAATTAAGAGAAGATTGAGTAGCGGAAGTTGCTTAACACTCTCTGAAAGGAGTAGACATGCTTATTTTGATATTCGATACAATAAAGAAATGATTCGATTGACCTAAGCGACGGTTCCTGCGTGGATTACCGCGAGGTCTGGTCCCCAACCGTACGTAGGTCGATTCGGTGTACATGTCTAAGAAAAGGCTTACGTTTAGCCAAGTTCGAATAAAGCAACTTTACGAGCGACCAGAAAAAGCAGTGTAGAGGAAGATAATATCCTCGCCTTGTACGCTCCAGACAACGCAATCTATGACTGAGTTCGTCCGTAGCTAGAGTGTACAAGGGCGTCTTGATTTTCCAGTGTGCTACTTGTCACTAGGTCACTGAGCTCCACGGCCGGTGCATATAGCCAAACTTGAAATTGACCAACCATAGAGTCGATTTTAAAGCAAATCACGGGTCGAACAGAGATTCTACGGCGCAATTCACACGCACAATGGTTATCGTAAAGCTCCACAGTGACCATGTTAGGGCAGTTTTGAAAGGCGTCCGATCACTGGGTGTTCACACTAGAGCGATTGTGGTGCGGCCATTCGACCGATAAGTGCACCACACACGCTGGCCCACAGCGCTAGAAAAACAGGAAATATTAGACTGACAGAGGGCTGAGTCAAAAGAACAATACAAGGGTAGTGCCAAGCTAAAATCGATAGAATACATAGTACCTACCAAAAGCGCAATACCACTAAGGAAAACAATTCTTTAAAATGGTCGCAAATGCGACTGCTGTTTATAGCGAGTATGGCATCCGGATTACGTCAAACGCGTTTAAGAAAAGGCAATGTATGCCCATTCGGATATCGGAAGTAGATTAAACGCGAAGAAGTCTCTTTTCCACAAATCTCGGTGGGTGTATAAAGGTATAGGAAAAACGGAGACAACAAGTGAGCGAAAGCAGGGGGGTGCGATGGGTTAGGTCATTAGTTTAAAATGTGTAAGTAAAGTCAATTGACAATTCTGTCGATCCCGTTACGTGGTAAAAATCACGAGAGTGGACACACACAGCTCGGGTGACCTGGCCAACGGGGCGACAAATTGCACCCCCGGTCGTTGCCGCTGCCCTATGTGAACGGGATAGTTATGGCCAAAGCCAGATAAGGACTTGTACAGGTGTCCTCTGCTTGCATAACTCCGGCTGCAGCAGTTTGATTGTAATGGCGTCGACGGTAGCTAACATGCACCTTTTGGGTCTTTTGGAGCTGCCACTCGATGTCGCGTAGAATACTCTGAATGAATCTAAATCTAATGTCCGGCACAAAGCAGGTGCTCGAGGATAGGAGCTATGGACATTCTCAAGCGTACCATGTTAAAAGGAGGCAAGGCAGTTCTCCGTAATCTTCGCAGGCAGACGCCTGGTCGTGTGTCCGAAGTATCTTGCAATTGCTCTGCTGCAAAAAGCTGGCCGTTTGTTTTAGGACTCACTACATGAGAAAATTCGGTATTAAAAATGAACAAATAACCGTGATTCAGTCAGATTTAGTGTGTCCAAGTAGTGACACCGCACAACGAAGGTAACTCGGAACGGGAAATTAGTGCAAAATACGAAATTAGCAAAACAACCACACATAACGCAGTGTTCGATCACCGAAATCACGGGATTTACGACGACAAGAAGAGTGGCCACACAGTGAAAAACGAGCAGTGGACGAAGAGGAACGATATTTGTTTCCCAACCAGTTCCATTAAAATATTACAGGTTAATTATATTGTAAGGCACAAATATCAGTAAGCTGGCTGTATCACGTCGTGTGAGTTTGTATTTAAACTGAAACTTCGTAAATAAGGCTGCCAAATAATAGGTGATATTAGTATAGAAAAGTAGGTACTTAGATCTTGCTGGGAATTATGTTCTATGACGAATGAAGCTGCTGTGACGTAGTTTCAATTAATTACATCAAAACTCCACACTCATGAGTACTTCAAAAGATATTCGCCCTAACAGTTTCTAAATGCTGTCGTACATAGCTACAGTCAATAGATGTCCTGTCTTCCGGGGCCAACACTATGCTCTGCAACGTTCGTAGCTTGCATGACAGTGGAGGATAAGACGCGCTATATCGCATTTAGCTTGTAAATCATGAGGGTACGAAGCTGTCCCCCGTGGCCCAGTGGTATAAACTGCTGACTGGTGGTGTAAACCGCTGGTGGTCATGGGTTCGAATCCTGGTGGAGCCGATGGATGCGCACTACTGAAGATGACCAACAGGCTGAGACTATAATCTAATGCTTTTCCGGGCGCGTGAAGGTCTATCTGATTTGGAACCTGCTGCGACGAACTCTCAATTAATATATGGACTTGTGCTTCTAGCTGGTTGACGAGGTCCACACACATTCCGGCAATACACAATGAAAGGGTTGACTTGTGTTTGCATGTACGGTTGGTGCTAGTCTTTTGCAAGAAACAACATGCGTGGACACAAGTGGCCAATGTAAATGTAAGCATCACATTGAGGTACTTTATTGATGTCGAGGAGTGAAATCCATCACCATCGATGTGCAGTTCCGGGTACTGCTGGAGAAGTTGCCGATACCGATTTCTTCTGTGCAGTGAAAACACATCATTGCATCTTGAGACGTTCAACGACAGTTCGAGAGGTTTCGAGTAATACGTGAGATCTTTAACAAGTTACCATATTGATGAGGCAGTAGTCGATTGATTGACGCACAGGGCAATGTCATCTGCGTACTTCAGTAGGGTTGCCTCCTTAGGAGGGTATTGAGCTTACATAGTTGGAAACGGGAAATAATGACAGAATAGCTCCCTGAAGAACCCCGATGTTGATGATTAGGGGCAAGGAGCTTCTGCCTCCAAAGCGATTAACCTGAGTACGGCCGCCAAATTAATCCCTAAACACAAGGGGGTGTATTCCAGTAAGGAGCAAATCTTCCAACAGTAATTCGCGGTTTACGCGGCCGAATGCGTTGCTGTAGATCAGAAAACAGACTTGAGTGAACTTGATTCTGTTGTCTGGAAATGATAGAACCAAATACTCTAGACAGTCTACTGCGTCTTGTGTTGAGATCAGACTGCGGTAGGCAAATTGGAGAGAATCATTTGACCGCTTTTGTGTTAGCATCTTCCCGAGAATGATTTTTGGTGTACATTTAAAACTACCGAAGTAATCGGTCGATAGTTGTTTGAGCCCTTTTTGAAATTGGTATGATATTGACGCTTTTTCAGCAGTCGGCAATTCTACGTTGTTGATTGCACAAGGTATATAAAGTAGCCAGAATTATGGCCGGAAAATCAGCATATTCCTTGAAGACAATGTGAGATAGCCTGTCCGGACCATTTGACTTCCCTGAGTGAACCTGTTTCAGTACGTGGTGCACAGTGTCGTCGACAGGAGGCAGTGGGTCTGAGGACAATTTAGATTGTGCAAAGGACGATACAGAGGCCGGATTGTTGTAGCAGTTGCAGAAATCCTGGTTCAAAGTTTACGCATATACGTCGGAAGTTGATGTGTGCCGCGTAACCCCGCTTAATTGTTTTCTACATCCTCCAGAGTTTGCGATAACTAGTATTCCCAAGTTTAGCCTTAATGTACACGTTATTTATTCAGCGCAAGTCCTTTACAAGGACAGAGAATGGCTTTACTGAGGTGTAATTTCCTTTAGATAAACAGAGTTTCACATAGACAGCAAATGTCAAAACAAAAGTGTAGGTAGCTTGTCTACTGACAGCAATATGTGGATACATCAGTGAGACAGAATAAACGTAGGTCGGTGGATGAAACCATTCCTCGTAGCTCGTCAATGTTCGGTGCGGAATATCGCCCCCATCTGAACTTGCGATCGTTGCAACGAGTAGCCTCCTTATGGCTTGTCTGCAGGACATAGCTTAACTATTGAGTGATTAGAGTTGTCAAGCGGCGCTCTACTACACATGGAGAACAGCTTTAAGTTGTCAACGAATACCAGACACAAAGTCGCATGAGATATAATGGGATAGTTTACAATGTTCTGAAGCCCGGGGCTGGTAAGAAACGCAGTGTCAAATCGGTCAAAATTATCAGCAAAAATACCTAGGGAACAATCGATGTGCCACATGCCAGTCGCAGTAAACTCCACGTAAAATGTCGCTGTTTCGGAAATATAGATTGAAAGAAAACTAAATAAGGAGCAGGACTACACGGCGCGATGCTCGACAGCGCAAATATTCGTGTGCGAAATACGGCATGCTTAGGAGATCAATAAAAGCAGCGATAACGGTTGTAATAACTAAGGCAACAAGACACTTTGGTGAATAACCAGGTCATATCAGCATATGAGAAAAAAGACAACGTTTTCGCTTTCCGTCAAAGTTCAAAGACAGCGTCGACGGTTTCATAGTGGCAACTCACCAAGTGCTGACTGAGCAGCAGTGTGGTTGATCGAGTGGGTGCTGAACACCGACTTTGTGCCGACGAGCGCCAATCCGATGACGGTGCAAAACATGCCGAACCAATGATGAGGGGAAAGACGACGTCTCAGAAAACCTATCTGTAATGGGGACACACATTCAAAACACAGAGCAGTGCATACTTTGCATATGAAGAATGGAAGTAAAAAAAACTTAAAGCAAATTATCCATATCACTTGCGTAACTCTCACTCACGGGCTTCGATGATCAGTCGCTTCGCTTGCACGTATTGCAGGTAACAGAATGTTTATTAAGTGCTGACATGGCATGTAACCAAACACAAAAAGATAAGAAGCAGGTGAGCTGAATCCGAGGTATCAAAATGCAGAACTCAAGGTAATATATGCGAGGAAATAACTCCGCCAATCGATTGGGTATAAAAAAGGAAATTCTTATGCATGGTTTGTAGAAAAAAACGCAAGCTCTCGGGAGCTAATCTTAAGCACTTATCATCCCCTTATATGGGGACGGTACGAACTAGACCCTTTGAGTTTGTCGGAAATGCATGCACGCTTACCACCCGTGGTAGAGGACCTGTCCATGTGTTGCAAGATTATGCTCGCTAACTTTTGTAAAACCACTCCAGACCGAAGGAAGGAAAATCAGGTCATCCGTATAAAGGATTCGCTGTTGAATAACCAGGAGGGACCGATTGAGTGTGATCCCAGTAGATACACGGTGAATTATTCGGGTGTACAAGTTAATGCGCTTCAAGTGAAAATAGTTAGTTACAGATTTGATTACAAAATTCCCCACATCAGGTTGAACAAATTGCACTAGAGCTTCAATCCCTGATGTGCTTATTTAGTTAAGGAACAGATTAATCAATTTCGCTCAAGAGGTGGAAACGGTGACAACTAGTATCGACAGGATGGGTAGTTGTCATACGGGAAACGGGCAGCAAAAGACTTGGTGTTAACGAAACGATGTGTGACGAGAATAGACAACATATCCACAATTTGTTAAAACGCTTGGAAGGTTGGGCTGGACATTTTAAAAGACAATTTATTAGGCCGGAATTGTCAGATTTCTCGCCGGTCAGTGATTGCCCTGCTCGCTGGGCCGTGTCTGTGGATACGCTCTCTCGCTCAAAAGTCGAACGGGAGATGGGACTTCGGTAGTTAAATAAGGTCGCCGGATCAGATGATCTTCTACATGCCCTCTTCAAATTCGAGGGACTATTATAGGAGTGTCAGATCAGAGTGAATGGATGGACTAACCGGGCGAGCCAGACAGCCAATGGGAGACGGACGTAACGAATTCGATCACTGTACCAGGACTGACCGACATTCGTGAGTTATTCCCAGTTTCGAGTTGGTTCATCGCAATTATATTCCAAGCCGCATAGGTAAGCTACCAATCCACAGTTTGTTCAACTGAGTCAAAGGAGGCTCATCGACTCAGAAGGGTCGTTACTTATGGATGTGGACGTGCAACTTATATCGAGGAGTTTGACTTGCCAAACATGCTGTAATCTTAGCTGAGTTGACTTCATCGGATCAACGCTTTTCCCTGAAAGACCGTTCTAAAACAAGGACCTGTTCCTGTGGATGACTTACAAGAGTTATTAGTTAAACCGTAGGAGCAGGGAACTGTGAAAACGGACTGGAGCAGGTTCGTTATTGCCCCGATCTTCAAGGGAGGCTCATGGTCGGAATGCGGCAACCTCCATCCCTTTCAAGTTACTTGCCTCTGTCATCCTTCACAGACTGACTGGCACTCGTGAAAGCCAGATTCGTGAAGAGTAAGCTGGACTTCGTCGAGGTCACGGTTGCATGGATCACAACTTCAAATTACGTCAATTGTTGGAGCACCGTCACACCTATCGGGGTCCCACTGTTGTCTTGTTTCTCGACACCAAAGATGCCTTCAATTCGGTGGATCGATGCGCCCTTTGGGACTGTCTACTCAGGAAAGGTGTGCCAGAGAAATATGTAAATATTACCCGAGCATCATACGCGCACAGTTCGGGCGGAGTGAGAGTGTATGGCAATCTGTCGCCGTCCTTCAGTATCACCAGCGTCACCATTCCTATTTAACTTCGCAGTTGATGAAGTCATAGAAACAGACCTACAAAGTGCGGAGCTGCTTTCTGGTAAGCGACGTTTTAACACAGAGTATGCGGACGACATTGCCCTTATCTGTGACATCACCCAAATGTGCCAAGCATCACTGGACAAATTAGCACTGGCTGTCAGTCGTTTTGGGCTATACTTTCCTCCATCGAAATGCAATGTCCTTCTCTAAGATGGGCAGGGACCTACCCCTGCACTGACCCTTGGTGGTGATCAGCTAGAAGTTGATCAAAAACTCGACTACATAGGTTATTGGAATCGAAGACTAAGTCACGAGGCGCTTTTAGTAACTTTCGTCACCTATGGCGCCAGTGCGACATCATTCTCGCCCTGAAGGGTAAAGTACACAATGCAGTCGTTCGTTCAAACCTCCTGCGCACGATTGCGAAAGCCGGCCGCTCAAGTCGACAGACATAAAGGGGATTGTCATATTCGACCATCGCTGCTTCCACTGTTTGGCTCATGCCTGGTAGGTACCGCCTGAACAATAGGCGTGTTCGACGTCTCGTATTTGGAGCAGGAAGAGCGAGTGAAAGGCGCAGCACCGTTATTTCACACGCCAGACTGCGATGGCTGAGCCACGTGTTACGTACGGCAGCACACCGACTCCCATGACGTGCGTTGTCTGCACTACCGGGGTATGGACAGTAGAGGATAGGAGGCCAAGTGGTGACTTGGTCTAGAGAAATGAATGCCCTCCCATCGAAGTTGGTCTCGGTCGGAGCCTCTGGGCTCTTCGGCTGGGGTCCGAAAGACGATGACCACATTTGGCTGGATGCACTTGTTCACATGGCGAACAGCCAACCTCAATGGCGTTTGTGCTGCGAGCTTCTTTGTACCTCCCCCTCCAATCACGATCTCATACCCAAGGCATAACATGATATTTAGCATCATATTACTTTGTAGTTTTTGTATTTTATAACATTCTATATGCCTTATCTTTTTGTGTTGCGGCACACTAGTTGAGGTATTTTTCATCCCAGCTATCATGTTTTGATTATGATGATGGTGACCAGTGCTCTGGAGAGGATGTCAGCTTGAGCGTACAGGAATTCGGAGCATAAGCTGAAAAACGACTAATGGCTGTGATCGCGTTTCCATCCTGTCTCCGGCGGCACTTCGAAGCTAAAAGTTGCCCAACTAAATTGATCTTGAGAGTGTTGCATCTAAAGATCCAGATGCCGTTCCTTATCGTGAATTAGTGCATTAGTTTTATGCGCGACTATCACACTGAAGCATAAGTTCCTGCGACCAGTGGTGCAGAAAAACTTATAAAAGGTCTGGAATAATTACACGCAGATACAACATCCTCTTTTCCTAAGCCATTTAGTTCACCAACCTTCTATGTCAAGATGCGAGCACCGTTCACATCCATCTTCTCTATACACGACAGTGATGGGAAGCATCTCGGCAATTGAGCCTGAAACAATTCAATCAGATGGAAGTAAACGTCAAGCGGGAGCCCGGACTGCGGTTCCAAAAGGCAGCTGGATGGAGGGAAGCTTCGATTTTGTGCAGTAAAAGGTTCCCAGTTGTCCCACTCATAAAAGAACGACACTGAGGAGCGTTGCTAGTTGGGGGAACGGGAAGACGCAGCATACGTAGCGGTCGCATAATGGAGACAAGCCGAGCAAATGGCGTTGCACGATTCAAACAAGCGAACCCAACATGCGACTCAATGTTCCGAACCGTTATCAGAAGTGTACAGTGAAATAGTATTTTTAGTTAAAATGTCGCACAAAAAGCTCAGACAAACCTGTGAAATCTCCAGACTTTTACACATCGAGTACGGTTGAAAGTACTCAGGCGGCAACACGAAATGAGTAGAACCGACTATTCTCTCCCTTAAACAGTGCTTCTAAAGTTGTTGAGAAGAGTTATTGAATCACGGTATTCGTAAGCACAAGCCCAACCAAATTCATCGTGGTGCCAGTTGGGTGCTCTGGGTCTATCTCGGTAAAGCAAATGGTTTGACGGCAGTGTTCCCTAACGTGGAGGGTTTTCGCCTAACAAGCGTTTTACATAAACAAGTCACAAACGTCTGTTTAACAACGCTGCGACGTAATGCATGTGACACGCTCCTTTGGTTTACATAGGTGGAGGATTGTAGACCAGAGGATGGACGTCGGGTGGATTGGGCACGCGTTTGGCAACTGACTAAACCAAGGGGGTAGAAGCGGAAATATTGATAACCGACTCCCAATGGGCGCGATATCTTGACTTCGTTCTGTTGTCTAGTTAGACAAAGGCTCGGGCTGGTATCTCCTTAGTCAACTCCCTACTTCGGCTTAGGCAATCGGGTAGTAACCACGCCCACTAAAAAAACTATAGATTTTTCTGTTTTGTGTCCGGTGTTCTTTATTTAATAATTCTACATCCCTTTAAGTTTCATGATGTTGATGGCTTTAGGTCTAATCATAAAGCGCTGCAAATATGTAAACCTATGTACCTGAAAACGTAACTCTACTTATCACTAAGTACCAGTTATCAACGATGAAAATCTCATTTAAAAAGACTGATTACCATTCTGCATGTCGACAAAATCGCTTTATAAGATTGATAGCGATAAAAAAATGTCATTTAATCGATACGTTGGATATCAGGACAGTGCGTCATATTAGCACATCATCTGCTGAGACTCCGGGCACCAACTATTTGTCTATCCCATGTGGTCACCTACCGATGCGATGCTCCATCGTTCCATTGCGATTCGCACTATGAGTATCGGGATTTTAATCTGGATAACCTTGTCTGATAGCTGCGCCAACTGATTATTGTGTCATTCACTGTTTTCCTAACCGTATCCACATAGTTCCATACCAACCCTGCTGTTAGAAATGATCGCTCCCACACCGGGCAACTTGTCCGGGTGTCACCACATACCGAGTTGATTTATTCTCCAACCACAGGGGCGTTTTCACTCTTGTTATTCTTTTCATTCCACATTTGCCACAAGACATTACACCCACCACCCTCTATGCACTGTACAGCGAACCAATCGAGTAGGTTTAACGGACCCATTAAAAGAGCCGTTGGCTTCTGCATATAGACTGTTTGTTGTATGGTCTAGTTGCACGGAGGCAAGTAGGGTGTTTTGCATTCTTTGGGTACCCTGTAAAGACCCGGTTGTTTCAAGACTGAACAGGTACTGTTAAGTACGTAGTTAACTTCTCGGCTTTGTTTTGATATTGACCAGGGAGTTTTTACGTGTTACCCGAGACCCAAGCGACTTTGTCGCCCATATAAGTAGCTCGACTATAATTCGGTATGCGTGGATACAACGCGGAAAAAAGAATACAAACGCAAGCACGACGAGTCAGAGGTCTCAAGTTGTGTAGTGGTGGTACACAAACCCTGAAAAAAAGGTTGGACCATACCGCTAAGTCTACAGACCTGGTAGTGAACAGCTAGTTTACTTAAACGAGTAGAAAATATGGAATTCTGAACATAAAAATTTCAAGTGATGATGAAGCTGTAATTAAGTAGGAGAGACCACGGTCCTGGCAAAAACAGAACAGAGCACCAAATTCTAATAGTGCGGAATTTATTAAGTGGAACAGCTCAGTGTTACCAACCTACCGACAAGAGACCAGCAAAGACAATTAGGGATCCACGCATCATTTGCCAAATGGATGCGTCCACGAAAAGAAGCCCAATCCCTAGCAGCAAAATATGAAATGAGAGAAAATCCTACCTGCCAAAGAGGATCCAAGGAGGTCACATGAAGCAGGAATAAAAAAGAACCAATTGAACAATCTAGTAAAAAACATAAGCACAAGTTGCGTGCATTACGGGGCATCAAAACTGCCAAGGCTTCCAGGTACTGAGGAATTGAGAGCTTGGTAAACAAACCCGTTACGGAGCTTCACTCGCCGCTTATGACGCAATATAAAGAAAACGAAAATACAGAGGATCTCTCCAAGAAACATGAGTAACGTTTGAAACCAGGGTTTGTTAAAAGCATGTTCGGTTCGTGTGTCGTTTGCAGAATGGTTGAAATAACCTCGAGCTCTGAAAAGACTTAGAAAAAAGTGGGTAACCTACGTGCATTCCAACTGAATCTTCCTCGAAACGGTGTTGATTGTACCAGTTAGTAACATGCCAAAAATGAAAAACAGCTGTTTCGGTGTGAAACCCATGGCGAAACCCAGTTACTTAAGTAACTGAAGTTTGTGGTCGATCCAACTATATTGTTGTAGGGAGAAGGACAAGAAAGGTAAAATACCAGTTTATAACACGGCAATAAAATTGAGTACGCATATAAAACAAGAGGAAAGATGAAAAGCTCGAGATTTACGGACCGTAGAACTCGCGCGCCGTAAAAATCAAGAATACGAGCGAGGGTAAATGATGGGTAAGATTCTCGGTTGAAGATAGAGTCATCTTCATCCACTCCAAACCCATGGACCAAAATTGGTTCTTGAAAAAGAAGATTAAGAAGTTATTGTCAGGGTTAGAGTAACATCCGTATCTTCAGAAGGATGCTGCATATATGGAAAAGGTCTAAAAAATTGCCGACTAGTATGATTGAGGGCCAGCGTGAACGGCCACATTATGAACGCTTAAAGAACCTAGGATTGTTTTCAAGTTCAAGTAGGACTGCAACGGTAGGAAAATCCAGTGAGGATCTTTTCAGGAGTGCGTCGCTGAAGTGGGGATAGTCCATATGTTCTTAATTCTTTGTGGACGTAAAATAGCACACCCGGTGTTGGGTTTTGAAGTACCCACCGTGTATCTTGGATAGCGACATGCAATCTCAAGTTTGCCATTCCGATCAAAGGGGCCGTATCCGAAGTAGAGGGTTTCGGTGTTGCTCTCCGACATCACTGCACTCCATAACCGACAGGGTTCGTCCTGATTTGGGCTCGTCAGGTAGGGATGGTCTGATCTGGGAGTGGAACTCGGCACACAGAGGTTGGCGGCTATCGTCCTGATCAATAGGCTATTGAACTCCGTGAGCAGAGCTTGACACAGAGGTTAGAAAGCGAATGTTGGGTTTTGGAGTACTCGCCATGTGTCTTGGAATGCGACAAGCAATCTCTGACCGCTGTGTCAGGCGCTGCTTGCAGGGCTCAATGCCCCAGTGATCACGGTGATAGCCACTAACCACTATGTGCTAAGTTCCACTCCTAGACCAGGCTATCTCTAACTTACGAATCTAAATCAGAACGAAACCGGTCGGTCGTGGAATGCAGAACATCCACACGTCGGACAACAACTCATTGTCCACGTATCAGGCATTGGCATTCCCAGATTTGCCGGCGGCGCGAAATAAAATAAAAGGATGCAAATCAAAAGGAAGGAATTTCGTTTAAGTAACCGGAAAATTCCCATTTAATCATCAAGAACAAGGGACCGAAGGTAAACAATTGTTTTCGATGAATTCCTCGTCAGACCTTTACAATCATATGGGTAAAGAACAATGGGAGTAACAGTGGTTTCGATCAGTTCAAATGAAATTGGATCACGCGACCGAACCGACGATATCATCAGACCGTTTGCACCGGTATTCCAGGATGGTCTCGGCCGCTGTACATGCACACGCGCTGCGTTACAGCTCGTACCTGGTGCTCAACCGATATTCCGTCCCAAAAGACCTGTCCCATACGCAGCCCTACCCTTGGTCAATGCCAAACTCCAACGTTTGGAGGACATAAGCGTCCTGGTGTCTGTGTCCTATTCCGCCTGGGCAGCGCCGACCGTCGTGGTCAAGAAGCCGAATTGATCCCTCCGCATTTGTACCGATTTCTCCACCGGTCTCAACGCAGCACTAGAGCCAAATTGCTACCCGCTACCGATCCGAGTCGACCACTTCACAATACTCAACGGTGGCACGTGTTTCGCTAAAATCGACCTGGTGGACGCCTACCTGCAGATCGAGGTCGCGCCTGAGTCACAAGCCCTCCTGACGATCGATACGCATCGTGGTCTTCTCCAGTACACTAGACTCCCGTTTGGTGTCAAAACCGCTCCAGCCATTTTCCAACAGACGATGGACGCTATGATCTCTGGAATTCCGAGTACGGCCGCGTACCTGGACGATCCACTCATTGTTGGTCGCACCCCAGAAGAGCTTCGAGAGCGTCTGGTTGCCATCCTTCAACGGATCCAGGAGTACGGTTTCCGATTGAAAGCCGAGAAATGTCCATCATTCCTTCCGTCGATCAAATACTTTGGTTTTGCTTTCGATGCCAGTGGCCGTCATCCTGATACTGAGAACGTCAAAGCCATCGAGCAAATGCCAGGTCCAGCGGATGTGTCACAACTGTGATCCTTCCTGGGTCTCATCAGCAAGTACAGCACCTTCCTGCCATCGCTATACCATGTTCGAGACCCGCTCAATCGGTTGTTGCAAAAAGACGTACCTTGGCACTGTTCGCCCGTATGCGAGAAACCTTTCGTTCGTCTGAAAGTCATGCTGAGTTCTGACCAAGTGCTGACCCACTACGACCCAGCCTTGCCGATTTTGTCGCTGCTGACGCAATTGTCTACGGAATCAGAGCAGTTCTCTCTCATCGATTTCCAAATGGTTCCGAGAAGGTTGTTATACACGTCCCCGCACCCTGACACCTGTGGAGAAGAACTATGGTCAGATTGAGAAGGAAGCCCTTGCCATCATCTTTGCCGTCACCAAGTTTCACAAGATGCTGTATGACATGCCGTCCACACTATCGACCGATCACAATCCAGTACTTTCAATCTTCGGTTGAAAGGACATTCCCGCATACTCGGCTAGCCGACTTCAGGGTTGGCTATCACTCATCTTGCTTACAACTTCGAAACCGGCCACTGCCGTACTCAAGAGTTCGGTCAAGCCGATGGTCTCTCCCGTCACATTTTGAAACATGCTACAGAAGAAGACAGTGATTGCCGCTTTTACCGTCGAGGACGACGTTCGTCATCAACTCTCGAACGCTATCCGAAGTCTTCCCATTACTGCCGCCGACATACGTCGCACGTTGCAGAAAGTCGTCAGTTACGTTTAGACATGCTGGCCGAACACTGACTTTTCTGGTGAATTAAAACAACCACATTAACGCTGCGACTCTCTTTCCGTGGTCGATTCCTGCCTCATGACTGCAAATCGAGTTGTCATTCTTTCATGTCTCCAGCAAGCTGTAATCCGCCAGCTCCATTCTGCTCACCTCGGTATGAACAGAATGAAGGCAATTACCCGCAGTTATTTGTACTGCCCTGGGATTGACAACGACATGTAAGATTTGGTTCGCCGCTGCTCAAAATGCCAACAAGCCCCAAAGATGCCACCACACCAATCACCGGTTCCTTGGCATCCGCCAGCAAAACCGTGGTCCTGAGTGCACATTGACTACGCTGATCCTATCGATGGCATTTCCTATCTGGTCGTGGTCGACGCCTATTCCAAATGGCTAGAAGTGGTCGCTATCAACCCACCAACCGCATCCGCCACGCATCTTCAGTCAACATGGCCTTCCCGAGGTTTTGGTGTCTGACAACGGTTCTCAGTTTACGTCTTCCATCTTCGAGGACTCTTGTCGCCGACACTGAATTCAACACCGCTCACTGCCTTACCATCCCCAGTTCAATGGTCAAGCGGAGAGATTTGTCGACACCTTCAAGCGGGCACTCTTGAAATCTCGTGGAGAGGGGACCTTGGATGAGTGTCTTCAAACCTCTCTGCTCTCGTACCGGTCCACACCGAATCCAGCTACGCCAGGATGCCAGTCACCAGCTAAAGTATTGATGGGCCGCAAGCTACGCACCTCCAAAGTGCTCATTCCGATTGATAAGCCACCTGCTTGCCTGCAGGTGCCTGCAGCAAGCACAAAGAATTCGTCGTTGGAGCTCCGGTCTACGCTCGTGATTACCGAGCAGGTTATCCACGCTGGATCAAAGCAACAGTGACGGTCAGACGAGGCGACATACGGTATGATGCTTCCGTGGGTGATGACACGTGGGTACGCCATCGCAATCAACTTCGACCGCGCCACGGAGAAACCTCCACACCAGCCAGCCTTCCTGTGCGCCTACAGCTGCACATTCTGTTGGATACCTTTGGATTGGCTACATAACGAGACCACGGTCGAAGCCACTCAATCGCCACCGCGGCTGGAGAATCCGCCTTTCCGAAAAACAGGAAGAACCCGGAGGTCGCCGAAATCCCTCCAGGTCAATCCTCGTCAGAAGCAGTACGCTTTCTCTTCAAAGGGAGGAGGTTGCGGGCCCGTCAAATGTCAACGCAAAAACGCGCCACAAACTCCTGCATAGTGGTTGTGGAAAGCGGAGTTCAATTCCCTCCCAAATGTAGCAGATTTCAGCCACTCCGAGACGCGGCACAACTGCGCACAGTTTGACAATGTTCTTTTACAAATTACCACCCCGTCGCGGTAGCTATTTTCACTAAGTTAATGACCTTTTGTTAACCGTAAAAGAACTTTCAGAGGACCACTTGTCTTGCTTTCTCTTCGCCGTAGTTGGGAGTCACGTGATTTTTGTGTGCGTCGATAGCCGGCAGCGTTCGCGTCTTAGCCACTAGCGTGCGTCTGCCGTCACCGCTTGTCGTGTGTTTAGCCTCGTTCGTTACGAGGGCTCAGCGTCTACCCGAATACATGTGACTAGGAACGATCTCACGCTAGCGTGATTTTCGGCCTCACCAGCGCGTACCCCGGGCTAATCCCACGACATCGCAAATATGTTCGGTCGGCCAGCCTTCGAAGTCGTTATCGTAGGCGTGCTCAAACCGTGCCAGTGACAATCGTATCAGGCTCAAATTCTTATCAGAGGCGTCTCCCAATCTTAACAATAGGCTAGGACGCAATATTCCAGGTGGAGTCGCATCAAAGCTGAGAAGAGTTCAGCAAATATATCAGCTGTTAGGGCACCGAAAGAACGTCGGAGTAACTACAAGTTTCGGAACCGTTTGCTGGCCGCCTACTTCTAGTTGTCTCGAGAGTGAAGTGTGGAACAGTGGACGAGACATAGATCGATCTGATGAGTCACATGAGGAATTTCACTCTTATCGATCAGGTAACTTGTGGAGGAATCAGCCGCTAGATACGCAGCACTGAACACTTTGTCCGATGTTTAGGCAACAACAACAAAGATAGACCACTCCCAGAGTCTATCTTAAGAGCCTCAGGATCTCCAGTGACATCCACAACATTGCAGAGCATTAGATCATCAGCAAACTAAAGCGAAGGGA